ACCGATAGCAAACGTTCTGTCATTATCCATCATAGTTCTTTTCATCATCACGGTAACAATCTTTTCCTTGATGGCTATTTAGGATAAAAAACAGTTTCTCCAAACAAGAGTAGTCTTAACTTGTTTCTTATCTCACGCTAATCTCAGATAAATCAGAATTCTTTCAAAATTTTCATTGCCTGATATTAATCTATAAGCATCGCTGGTGAGAAGTGCATTTGCTATTGATAGGTCGAACGAAACGACTTTTTTCTGAGAGACAATATACCATTTGTATCTTTGGAACTACTACTGACTGATGATGAAATGAATGGCCTTTTTTACTGGTTATTTCTAAATGTTCTATCTAAATATGTTTTTAGAACTAGATCATGTATTAAGATTTATATGTATTCAGAAACAGAGTAATATGAATAATAATTTCTATCGAATACTATACTGGTAAGTTTTAGAACAAATGATAGATGACGTCATGTACGAATTATCTTTGACCCAGGAAGAAATTTATAGTATGAAAACGTATGGAAATTTTCTAACGCTTGAAAAATTCTCAAATGTTAATCGAGATCATCGCATGTACTCAATTGTTAGTACATTGAAACCATTTGTATGAGTTGTGAGGGCTTAATTTTTCAATTTAATTATTTTGACGATGTTGTAAGTTATGCCTGATTTTTCCGTGAAATTATATTTTTAATTAGTCCAGTTTACAACAATAGCCTAAACAAGTGCCTCAATGGATCCGTCTTAGGAATGATAGAATGAGTCATTCTCATTAGTTGATAGATCCATTGTTCTTGACATCAATTTTTGAATATATGCCTACTATATTGTGATTCACTCGTTGTCATTGATAAGTATTTTTAAGCTCGAATGTGTCTTCTATTCGATTTGTACTTCCATAGCTCAAACCAATCAAATGATTTATTTCTGAAAGTAATTAAATGACGATAAAAATAACGAAATATTACACATTTAAATTGATAAAAATAGAATTGAAACATAATATTGGCAATAAAAGTATAGCCTACAGAAAAAGAAAACTATTCTCTTTTCAAGTTACATTTTTCGTAGTCAGATGACAATAAACACAAACTAAATATTTATTTTATAATATTCTTTTCTTGCTTTTTAGATGGCAAATGAAATGTCAAGTCATTCGTGAAGAAGTATTTGTTTCATTAAGTTTGGGCAAAGTGTCGGGTACTCAACTAAAAGCGATCATCTTTTTGATTGTATTAGTGTTATTGCTGAAGTAAGTGAAGAAGCTGCAAAAAAAAAGATATAACCAATTTTGCTGTAAAGAATTAAAGTATGATTTAGGTTGATTCGTTTTGGCGGTACATGTTATTAATGTTTGGTTAGAAGTTTCTTTTTTGAATAAATTCCTTATATTAGATTATTTTCTTTAGGGAACGTTTAGCAATAGAAAAAATAACTTCAGTGGACCTTGCTAGTGATCAAACATTATACCATAATTCATAGCAGAGCGAATATTATTCAGTTGAATTAAATTAAAAAAAGATAGCTTTGATTTTTTTTGTTTGATATCACTATTCATACAATTAGTTTTTTAATGATGAAGTTCGACAATGTATGAAAATTGATCAAAAAAACCAATATTAAAATCACCTGTTCATGAAAGGTTATTTAATTTAATTTATATGAAATCTTATAGTTGCGTTTTGTTTTTTGTCTTTCAGAGTGTGAATGTGGATGGAAATATGAGTATATGCATGGATGTGAAGTTACAGTGCCTTAGTTTTGTCGAGTTGCATTTTTTTGAATTAAGTCGAAAACAGCAATTTATTATCAATCCATATGTTTACTAGCCACTTAATTCTTCATGGATCTTAAGAGTCATGCATCGCTTATTTATAAGAACGCACTGACTCTGATTACGAGTCGATTTGCCGTACTCTGTTCTCAATATCCATTGGTGTAAACCATACGCAATGCATTCTCCCTCCATATAATTCGAGTCCTATATCCTGAACGAAACTGACAACAAGCTTTTACATAGATTAATCAATGTCTTTGTTTGCTTTTCTACTGTATTATATGGTAGATGGACGAGAAATAAATTATTCGAGTAGAAACAAAATACTTATGGACGTTTTTTAATTGAAATCATTAGCATTTATTCTTTAATTGCTGATCAGTTTTTATTCTTTTAATAACATTCTTTAACATTTAAGATTTTCAATTTTAGATAATCATTACCAATTAAAGACTAACGCGTATTTTTGTTGATCAAACACTGAATTGTCATTGTTAAGAGAAGAAAACTTATCCGATTGCTTTTCGAACGAACTTGAAACAACAAAAATATACTCTTCAATATATGGATGTATGTAAAATATTGACAATATTTTTAATATCAATTCTCAAAGAATAAAATACACATTGTGAATAGAGATGTACAGAAATAGTCTCGGTTTCGGTGCCACGATCAAAAACTCAAATTTATAGTTAAATATTCTATGATTTTTAAGCAAATTATTTTGTAGGTTGTATCAATCAGAACATGATTCAAGAGAGATAACTCAAAAAAGTGCTAGTAGTAAGCTAAATAAATTAAAAAAGAAGCATTGAAGAATAATTTTAGATGTGATATGTATGAATTCGGAAATGGGTTTCTATAGACCTGGATCGGCATCAAAGACGGTCATATTAGATATAAAAATAATTTGCTAATATGATCTGAAACGAACCTAATTTATTTTATATCTACGATATTTTTAGAAACGTAACTGTTTCCCTTTTTTCATTCTAGGCTAATAAAAAATTATTGAGATTAGCAAAACAACAACAGACAATATTTGAGACTTTATTGAAAAATCTGTTCAATAAATCAATTAAAGGTTTAAAAGATACACTTCATGAAATTAACGATCTGCAAGAAACACATTCATGGTATAATTTTAATCTAATTCAAATTCGTGGTCTTAAAACGAAGATAATTGCAATTCAAGAACGATATGATTCAGCAATTCGTCGTATCTTAAATGAAATTACAGTACAAAAAGAACGTGCAAAAGAAATACTTACAAACGCACTCGATCAACTTGAAACAACAATCGATACACGTGAAATAAAAGCTCATTTAAATCAATTGATTCATCAAATTGATCAACTAGTTGAAAATATGGCTTCACAAACTTTATTGTTGTCGATTTTCTCTGGCCTAGGCTTATTCAGTATTATAGCTTTCATTATCGGTGTGTTTGCTGGTACATCAGCATTAGGTTTGCGGACATTAGGACTAGGTTTTATTGGTAGTGGTAAGTAAGTGAAGTCACATTTCGACGAAAACTACAGGATTTAGATGAAAAATTAAGAGACAACATTAAAAGTGTTAAAAATAAAAAAAATGAACAAATAAAAAATCTTAATGAATACTTTGATGATTTTACAAAGAAATTACGTCATTATTCAACTCATAGTCAAACTTCAATGATCAATATTATTTGGTATGATAAAAAATTAAAAAATGATGAAAATCAAAATTATATTAAAATACTAAAAGAAGAATTTTCAACAGAACAATATCGAATTCTAATATGTGATAATAAAGAACAATCAATTGAATTAATTAAATCTAATATTCAAAATAATTTAATTCTCATTACATCTGGATCAGGGTGTGGGTGTGGGTGTGGGTGGGTGTGGGTGTGGG